TGGGAGAAGGAAGGGCTGCTTATGCACAGGGAGACAGCTCAGGGTGCAGAAGAGTATGGATGGATGAACACAACGAAGAGGTAACTATGGGGAGGAAGTTGGAGGGGAGCTGTTGCATTGTAAATTTTGGTCAATGACATGAGACAAAGTATATGTGAAGTGCTGTATGAATAGTGAATTTACTCTGTAAATCTTCACCCAAATCAAAATAAAACTTAAAAAAAAAAAAAAAAGAAAAGCATATATCCACTAAGATGAGCCTAAATAGCTTGACTAAAAGGGCATTTTTCTTTCCTTTTTACTGCAATTAAGTCAACTCATAATGTAGTAATATTTTTCTCTGAAAATCAGAATAATTCTTTAGTCTTTTTTTTTTAACCAAGAATATTAATAACTTATGGCTTAAATGTTATACATTAAACTTTTCAAAACATAGGTGAGGACAAGAGGTTGAAGGGGTAGGATTCATGAGATTTTGGATAGAAAAGGCTGAAGAAGCTGGGAAGCACCAGAGCTCGGAGACTCATGATCAGCCTACCTCACCTTTTGGAGAAACTGAAAGATGCCTTTCCTTTCAAAATAATGAACAACCCTTTCCATATGAAGTGGAGAAGGGGGCATAGAGAAACCACTAAGCAGGCAGCTATGTGATGAAAGAAAACAGTGATCTTGTTATGAGCAGTTTGGATTTTGCAGAAGGAAAGACACAGTGCAGGGGAGTTATGGTGGATGCTGAGAGAAAGGTAGGAAGTACAACCAGCTGCCCGCTTTGTAGAGAGAGAAGTGTCTGGAAGTGTCACAACACAGACACTGAGGAAGCATGCAGTAGCACACTCACCTTGGAAGGGTCGTAGTAATGCAGGAACGCTGGGTCCTTCCTCAGAACAAAGCGCCGCACCTTCCAGTTTTTCCTCTTGTGCCCCTGACACAAAGAAAGAGTTCCAGGATCACTGGTAACAGTTTGAAATCTCTTCCTTTCACCTCCCACACATCTATTGAGAAACCTCCAACAAGCCAGCCTCCTCCAGCAGGACTGCATCCTAGAAGCTACTATGTACTGTCGAGTTGATTCTGACTCATAGCAACCCTATGGGGCAGAGTATAACTGCCCCAACTCATAACAACCCTATGGGACAGAGGAGAACTGCCCCATTGGGTTCCAAGGCTGATCTTTACAGAAGCAGACTGCCACATCTTTCTTCCACAAAGCAGCTGGTGGATTTGAACTGCTGACCTTTCAGTTAACAGCCCAGGACTTGACCACTGTGCCACCAGGGATCCTTCATCCTAAAAGTAGTTTCCAGAAACCCTAAGGATTGCAATCACATGGGACAGACTGCCCTGACTTCATCCCCTCTCAGGGACACTTTAGCAAAAACACTGTCACATTTAGTACAAACCAAGGATCGAGAAAAGTCAGCCCAGTAGGAAAGGGGGTGAGGGGAACATTTCCCAGATGCAGCTCAGGGCATAAAGGTGAAGGACAGAAGGCTAGAGGTGTCAACTAAACTGGGAGCTCACATGGAAACTTGACCCCAAGGGCACCAGATTTATAAGGGTTAACTTATTCGAAAACCAAACATATAGCTGCACATATATATATATATATATGTGCACACGTGCATACATATATACAATAAAAGCACTTTAACACTGTCAGGTAAAGAGTGACAACAATCAATGTTAAAATCCAAAGGTATAAGAAGATATTAACCTGTGTGTGTGTGTGTGTGTGTGTGACCATCTTTGCCTTCACCCCCCAGGTCATAAACTTTCATTATCCCTTTAGTCTGGAACACCCTCAGTCTCTCCCATGGCCTCCTCATACTTCCAGGTGCCCTTCTGGCCCCCTCATTAGGATTGCTGTCAGAGCAGCAGAAACAGGACCCTGGGGATAAAGAGGCAGCTGCATGGATGTCAACTAATCAGCATATGGGGATCCTAATATCAAGAAGCAGGTGACTGCTAAGCATGTGCTCAGAGTAACAATGGGAAGGCACACACATTCACACAGCACATATTGTGTGCACAAACATGAGGATGTACAAAAGGTCCACTTGGCACATTCATGTACAGGTGATTGTGCCCATGTTGTTACCAATGACTTGGCCCTTGACTCATGGTGACCCCATGTATTACAGAGTAAACTGCTCCATAGGGCTTTCTTGGCTGTAATCTTCAAGGAAGCAGTTCACCAGGCCTTTCTTCTGCAGAGCTGTTGGATGGGTTCGAACCACCAACCTTTCAGTTAGCAGCCAATCATAAACCACTTGCACCCTTTTAGGCACATGCGCAAATGCTGCAGGTGTAACTGTGACAAGGTGTGCCTTCCATTTAACGGCTGCTCTCCCAAACAAGGTCTAGGAAGGGTAGCCATGGTCACTCTTTAAACATTGAGCTTATACTGCTGATTTGATCTTCAACCTACTGAATTAAGTGGAGAAAATAATTCTTTCTAATTCAGTTTAGAAAGTGTGCCAAGGAGTTGTTCAGCATCCCACAAAGGAAGGCAAGGACAACAGGAGGCCACGGGGATTAGAAGACCAACAGATGCAAAACATCAAACCAGCTGGCAATACCCTTCAAGACAAATACATGAAACAGGGCAATGATGTAGAAGTTGTTGCTAATGTTGTGATCACTACTTGCATGTACCTTTTTTCCTGGTGATTGGCATGCATAAGGTGTGCACATGCATGTTCTCAGACTTGCTCCCTGTGGCTGATGCTGACCTCCTTCCTTAACAGATCCTGCTGGTTGGTAATCTGTGTGCTCTGGGAAACCACAGCCCTTCCCTCCCTCTGGAGTCCTTACTATCATCAATACCACCACACTTGAAATCTACACCAAGTCCAAATCTCTTCTAACCAAACCATGACAGTAAACTGGTGAATTTCAACAACCCTGTGGCAAGACATTTAGAGTATATTGAGAACTTTCCTATGTGAAAGCAAACTGTGGCTGACTCTTTTCTGACATGAGGATGGAGAAAAAGGTATTTGCAAGATCAGTCATTGAGTACCAGTCTCTGTTAGCCTGCTATATTTTCTGCACCATTTGGGAGCTGCCCACCTCCTCCCTCACAGGCCTACTGCCATACCTGCTTGGCCAGATAGCCTTGTTTTACCACTGTGCCACTTAACTCCACAGTGCTGAGGTTGATTTCTTCCTTGGAGCTTATCTTCTTCTTGTAACTCTCAGCCTAGTGGATAGGAGAGAGCAAGGACTCTGTTACAGAAAGATGCAGGACCAAACTCTAGGGCTGCTGCAGGGGAAATTAAATCACTCAATATAAAAACCCCACTCTACCTTGGAATGACTCTGTACCCCAACCCCTAGACCTCTGTTATAGATTGAATTGTGTCCTTCAAAAATACATGTAGTAAATCCTAACCCCTATACCTGTGGTTATAATTCCATTTGAAAATGGGTTTTCTTTATTATGTTAAGAGGCCATATCAGTTTAGGGTATGTTTTAAGCCAATTACCTTTGAGATATAAAAGGAGCAGATTATGCATAACAAGAAAGCAGAGATGGGGGAAGATAGGACCCATTCCACATGAAGATCTCCAAGGAACCAGGAAACAGCTGAAAAGAGATAAAGACCTTCCTCCAGAGCCAATAGAGAAAGTCTTCCCCTAGAGCCAGCACACTGAATTTAAACTTCTAGCCTCCTGAACTGTGAGAAAGTGAGTTTCCATTTGTTAAAGCCACCCACTTGTGGTATTTCTGTTATAGCAGCACTACATACCTAAGACAGTGTCTCACCCACATCTGTGGAACCCCTGGCCCCTGCTCTGTTGCCTCTGCCTCCCTCTGCCCCAGTGGTGGGAGAAAACCCTACCCTAACTTACAAAAGTGTACAGGGCTGTGGAGTCATCCAGGAACTGCTCGGCCAGATCTCCAGAGCGAATGGCTCCTATGCTCCGAACGCCTACTGGCCTGAGGAAATTCTCCTCCATGAGCATGGAGGCCAAAGTCACTGCCTCCAGACGGCTGGCTGCAAAGCTGTTGGAGATGAGCCAGTCCACCAGGGAGGAGCCTGTGTCAGGGCACGGTAGCCAGTCAGACAACAGTCTACAAACTAGCCTGTTCAGGGTGCTTGGCAATAACCTCAATGACCTTGACCTCAAGGGCAGCCTCTAGGTTCTACCCATGAGCAGCCTGAAGGCCACACCTGCTGCCCAGAACTGTGGGCACAGCCAATGCCATCTCAGGCAGATTGGCTGGTCAGCCAGCAGGCAGCTCTGGCCCCAACACAGGGAGATCAAACCCGTGCTGAGTCCCAGAACACCATGTCCTGGGTCCCTTGCCCACCATTCCCACCCTAAGAGGGGCAGGCTCACCTATGAAGGTCTTTTTGTAGGTACTTCCCTGCTCCATGTTGGGGCTCGGCCTGATCCCACTGCCACTGTCATGCATTTTGTCCACGATGCGACTACACAGAAGGAAGGAAAGAGGAGGGGACCCTCATCACTATGATGAGTATAAGGGAAGGTCAGAGAGTCACCACTAAGGGTGCAAAGCAAGTGGCAAATGGTATGATACACATCACAAAGAAAGAGATGCATTCAGTTACACACTGAAATTTGAGAGATGGGATTTAGATCTTACCTTTTTCCTGCTCATCTAATGTTCTAATATTTCTATACTAAATATGTATTACATCTGTAATAAAACTAAAGAGCTAAGACATTTAGCTTAAAATTAAGGGTGTGCAGGAACCCACAGTGCTTGTCAGTGATCTACAATAAGTCTAAACTCCTCCAACTAATTCTCAAAGTCATCTACCACCTGACTCCACCCACCTTCCAAATTTATTTGCCACTCTAAATATTCACTGTGGTTTAGCAGAACTCTCGGCCCACAGAGGGTGCATAATCTAAATTCCAGTGCCTGGTTGGGAGTTTTTAGTGAGTCTATACTACATCCTTGATGGGTATCACAGTTCTACTACCTTATGGCAGTGAGGGAGTGCTTTCTGCAGTTGGGCTGTTGATGTGAACTCCTTCCATCCATTCCCACTTTATCGTATCACCCCCACTGCTGACCTTTCCTTCTGTTCTGTGAGACAATAACTGGTGCCTGCAGATCTTTTCTCACTTCCCATTTATATGAGCTTAGGCTGGAAGGCCCCTGAGATGAGACCTGCTGATTCTTATTTGCATCTCCTGAGCATCTAGCACAATGTAGGTACTATCGAGTGCAGCAGGCACTCAATAAGTGTTTCTTGGATGAATGAATGAAGTATCCTCCAGAGCAAGAAGGCAATGGCTCCCAGAACATCATTTTTGCCACCAGGCTAAAGACAAGACCAGTGACTCAGTTAGTGAGGATTCCTAGGAGCTATGGCATAGCCCTGAGCACTGTGGCTGAAACTGAAGAGGGTTCTCAAGTGACTGAAGTGGGCATAGGTGGCAGAGGCCCTGAGAGTTTGCACAGCAGTGAGTAGATGGGTAGGACCATTCCCAGGCAGAGAAAACAATATAAGCAGATCACAGTTGAAAACCCTGAAGCATAATGGGTGTGCCAGTCAGGCCTGTGCAGTTCCAACAGAGACCTCAAGAAGGGCCTGTCCCCAGATAGATATATGCACACCTATGTTCATCACAGCACTATTCACAATAGCAAAGAGATGGAAATAACCTAAGTACCCATCAACAGATCAACAGATAACCAAACTATGGTATATACACACAATGGAATACTATGCAACCCTAAATAATAATGAAGAATATATGAAATACCTCATAACATGGATGAACTTGGAGGACATTATGCTGTGTGAAACAGGTCAATCACAGAAAAACAAATATTGTATGTGTCCACTATTGCAAAAAGTCAAGGAAAAGTTTACACATGGAAGAAAACTTTCTTTGTTGGTTAGCAGGGATGAGAGGGAGGGGAGGGAAATACATAAATAAAATGAAGGAGGAAAAAACAATTTTTAAAAAAGAAGGGCCTGTCCCTCCCCGCCCACTCCCCACAGACAGAAGAGGCTGTAACAAAGCCAGGTATCAGGAAGGGCGGGAGTGGGCAGGCACTCACTGCAGGCTGATGTGAGGGGGCAGCTTGAAGGAGTTCTTCAGAATGTGGAGCTGCTGAACCTTCCCTGGCTGCCCAGCGTGAATAGCCCCCGTTATCTCAAAGGCCCAGGCATCCCTCTCTTCTCGAGAACAGGCCTCCAAGAAGTATTCTGTGGATGTTTGAGTCTTCAGCTTAATGAGTAGCTGTGGAAAGTGACAGCCAGTCAGACCAGCACTTCAGGAACAGAGCAGGCAAGAGGATTATGGGCAGCAAAAATCATGGGACTACCCTGAATCTAAGAGGCTGTGTAGTCCACAAAATGGCAAGGCCCTTTCTTCATGGACCAGTCATCTTATTAGGAACTGAGCCTTAGTTCCTCCTGTCAGTCTTCCTGAGTGAGTTTTCATCAGCCCATTCTCTCACTCTCAATTTCCACTACTTCCTTAGGGAATGTTCCCCTTTGGCCACACTGGAGGTCCTTATGCCCAGAATTCACCCTCCAACTCTCTCTACACATGCTCCTCTCCTCATTTCTACTCAAAACATTTCACCTGCTGGGAGTGCCTGCTCCCTCCTCTCTCCGATCCTTGCCCAAATCTCAGCCAACCATGAATGGCATCCTCCTCCTCTTCACTAGTGTTCTCTGCAGCTAATGATGTTCGTGCCACCATTTGGAACACTCAATGTTTTCCAGTCAACCACTTGCTTTCCTAACAACATTATCAGCTCCATGAAGAAATGAGTTTACCATTGTCATCCTTCACTCCTCCATGCCTAGCAAACTTCTTGGCACATTATGGGCCCTTTCCAAATGATTGATTGATTCAGATACTTTTCTGATGGGAGAGTTGAAGCCACTCCTGACTTCCGGAACTCACACACCTCAAGGGGTGAAAGTTATTATGCCAAACCCCAAGATAGAAATTATTACATTCGTGTTGGGCCTCCTAGTCCACACAGTGTTTTAATGAACCACTATCCTAATGATCCTCATCACAACCATGTGAGATAGTAAAGTATAATTATTTCATACCATTTTATGGCTGAGGAACTAAGGCTCAAGAGAGGTTCACCCACTTGCCAAGGTCACATACCTGGTTAGTGGTGGAGCCAGGATTTGAACCCAGGTTTTCCAGTTAACTCTCAGCTCTCCCCTTTACCCACACTGCCTTCACAAAAAAGGCCAGGAGGGAAGGGTCTGGGGCAGGAAGGAGCTGGGAAATGGGGCCTCACTTACAGGCCGGTTTTCATACTCCAGGCAGGGGCAGGTGATGGTACAGCCATCTAGGAGGATGCGGCCCTTGGGAGGAGTCGCTCTCCGGCCCCCCTCAAGCTTGTAGTATAGCAGCGTGTTCTGCCGGAGAATGAACCATCGCGCCTTCCAGTTGTGGACAATGTGACCCTGTGGCGAGACAGGAAGTCAAAAAGCCCAGTCATGAGCTGTCAAGGGAGGATACTGTACTCAGGGAGAAATGTCCCATGGCATACGGAACCAGATTGTGCCATGGAGACAACTCTCAGCTAAGCAGAATGCATAATTGTTGTCTGGATCTCTTTGTCATCTTTTTCGAGTGTGTAGCAGAGATTTTTGGAATTGACCTTCTAGTTCCCATTTGGCCTCTTCATGATTATAAATCTTGGAAGAAATTGCAAGATATAAAAATTGCGAGATATAAAAAACCAAAACCAAACCCATTGATGTCTAGTTGATTCTGACTCATAGTAATCCTATAGGGCAACTGCCTATAGTAGAACTGCCACACAGGTTTCCAAGGCTGTAAACGTTTCATGGAAGCAGATTGCCACATCTTTCTCCCATGAAGTAGACGGTTGGTTTGAACCACCAACCTTTCAGTTAGCAGCCGAGCACTTAACCACCAGGTCTCCTTGCCAAATATACAGTAGAAAAAGTTCACTGCCTATAATCCTACCACTGGAGACAGTCGTTGTTAACATACTTTATTTCTTTCCAGTCTTTTTCCCTTTCAGTTTTTTCTTTCTAGATTTGTTTTTCTAAATCAGCACCATAGTACATATCATTTTATTTTCATGGTTTTAGTTTTACTAAGCATTTTCTCATACCACTAAAATTCTTTAAAACATGTTTGTTTGTTTGTTTTTAATATTTATTGTGATTTGGGTGAAAGTTTACAGAGCAAATTCATTTTCCATACAGCAGTTCATACACATTTTGTTTCATTACACTGACTGCAATTCCCCACCATGTAACAGCTCTCTTCCCACTTCCTCCCCATAGTTACCACTTCCCTGTGACCTTTCCTCCCATGCACTCCTGTCCCCACCCAGCTGTCTCCCTGTGCAAACACTGCCCTTCTCTTCTCCCATAATTGGTTGCTCCAAAAAGTGTATCTAACTGATGTAAATGTTCACCCCATATGCCTGTCTATTGTTTGGCTGGAAGCCACAGGAGTGAGTTCAACTCCAGACTTGAAGGGTAATTAGGGGTCATAGTCTCAAGGGTCTCACCAGGTCCATTTTTTTTTTTTTTTTTTTATGATTTTGAGTTTTGTTCCACATTGTTCTCCCACTCTATCCAGGATGTCCTATGCCAATCCCCATCCAAGTGGTTGACAGTGGTAGCTGGGCACCATCTAGTTCTTCTGGTCTCATGCTCATATAGGCTGAGGATCACATAGTCTACTAGTCCCTTGGACTAATTCTTTCCATGTGTCTTTGATTTTCTTCATTCTTCTTTGCTCTGGACAGGAGAGACCCATCATTGTATCTAGATGTTCTCTGCCAATCTTGGGACTGTCTCGGGACTGCACCTAGTGGCCTGCCATGTTGTTTAGTAATCTTGGAACTGTGCCATTGTATTTGTCAACCTTGGGTTTGTCAACCTCAGCAGCCAGCACCTGCCTGAGTTAAGAAAAGCCTCCAGCTTCAGTGGGCTGGGAGCAAGAGGCAGAGCTGAAGCCCAAGGTCAAGGGGCTTTCATCCAAACCCTAGAGCTGGCATTTTGAACTCAGACTTCTAGCCTCCTAAAGTGTAAGAGAATAAATCGCTGTCTGTTGATGCCACCCATCTGTGGTATTTTCTGTTAAGAGTGTTACTAGAGAACCAAAACAAGTGCTAAGGACCCAACAGTCTTATCTAGCCAGGTGGGGCAGGCTGACAGCCAGAGCAGTTGTTGTGGCTCTCAAGTGGGTCATAGAGCCAGTAGGCAGGAGAGTCAGGTGGAAGCAGAGAGCTTGTTTCTAGAACAGATCGATGGATGGTGGAATGTCGCTGAGGGACCAGAAAGGAATGATTTTGATACTCATTCATGAAAGCAACTTCTTGGCCTATTTCTCACAGCAGAACCCAACTTAAAACTAGCTCAAGAGAACTTAAAACTATGCTCTAGAGAGCATAGTGCCTAAGGCACTTGACTGCTAACCAAAAGGCTGGCGGTTCAAACCCACCAGCCACTCCTCAGAAGGAAGGTTGGGCAATCTACTTCCATAGTAATACCATCTCAGAAATCTAAGGGGTCGCTATGAGTCAGGTCCAACTTGATGGCACATAACAACAACAATCAAGAGAGCTGTAATCAGTTATATCTGTTGCCATTGAATGGATTCTAACTCATAACAAACCCATGTGTGTCAAAGTGGAGCTGTGCTCCGTAGGGTTTTCAATGGCTGCTTTTTTGGAAGTAGATCACCAGGCCTTTCTTCTGAGGTGCCTCTGGGTGGACTCAAACCTCCAACTTCTTGGTTAATAGCCAAGTGTGCTAACTGTTGAACCATCCAGGGACTCCAAGTGCTTTATCTGAATTAAAGATCTTTTTCCTAATTTGCTCATTTCCTTACCTGATATTTATTATAAAAGAGGTCCCTTCCAGTTCTCATGTCTATGATGCTGTGATTCTCTTCTATGCTCAGCCAGTACTAAGAGCTGGTAGAAAACCAGACATAAAAGGATTTGTCTGCCCCCGTTCTTTGTACATACAGGAACACTTTGTGAGCTCTGCCCTGTGCACACAGAAAATTTGCTGTGGCAACGAAATAACATGTATAACAAAGTTAATCTGACAAGTATGAATATGTCTAAGTATTATTATGCCACATGGTGATCAAGCTGTTCACATGGATGACATGTAGTCAAACTGAATTTTACATCTTTGCTCCCTTTACTTTGTCCATTGCTTAGTATCAAGGCTGAGAATTTTCCCTGACACAGGCAGACATGTTTAAAGAAACAAAATGGACTTGGATCCAAGTCCTCAGCTATTTGGGTTCTCTACTGCTCCCCCCATATGGCCCCAATGCAGTCCCCATTCTCCACAACCCCACTCTGAAGGGGTCCTGATGTCAGCCCAGCAAAGCTGGCCAGGGCATTTGGGTGTTAAGGAATTAAAGGCAGAAAATCAGTGGCACACAGGCTGTGGCTGGTGCAAGGAGAGAAGAGTGCAGTCCAAGTTGACGGTGTGGGGGCTACTGTGCAGTGGAGAGAGGAGAGGGCAGAAGAACCTTAAACCTGAAGACACAGGGAAAGGAGAAAGGGGGCTGTTAACCAATAGATGATGAGCAGAGAAAACAAACACGCAAAATATTAGAACTAGGTTCACTCAATACCCAATGCCATCAGCCAATTCTGACTCACAGAGACCCTATATGACAGAGTGGAACCACCCATAGGGTTCCCAAGCCTGCAATTTTTATAGAAACAGACTGCCACATCTTGCTGCCAAAGGGCAGCTGGTGGGTTAGAACCAGTGACCTTTCAGTTAGTAGCTAAGTGCTTAACCAATGCACCACTGGTGCTCCTTGGTTCACTCAATATCCACACCAAATCCCTTCCGGCCTTCTTTCCTGGATGAAATGTTATATTCCTCAGGATCCTTTGCACTTAGGGAGTAGATTGTTTTGTTGTTGTTATGTGCCGTCAAGTCAGACCTGACTCAGCGATCCCCCCTTGGGTTTCCGAGGCAGTAGCACTACGGAAGTAGATTGCCCCATCTTCCTTCCGAGGAGTGGCTGGTGAACCACCAGTCTTCTGGTTAGCAATGAAGTGCCTTAGGCACTACACTACCAGAGCTCCTTAGGCAACTGAATTTCTACCAATTGGGAGTGAGCTTCATGGGGACATAGGAACTTTTGGCAAAGATAGTGGTGGAAGAACAGGATCTTCTGGCTCCCAGTCACTAGGTTACCAGGGACAAGGGGCCAACAATGTTAGTAGTATTGTTTCCACTAGAAAACTCTGATAGTGTTGTCCCCTTTTTCACTGACCCTCCACTTTATATAATATATAGAAAATAATCTAAATTTATAACAATACAGTGCCTGGTGTGGCTGCAGTGGAGGGACTCCAATCCCAATAGATGGTGGGAGAGGCCACTGGTGGAGGCCCACTCCACCGAGAATCACATAACATGGGCAAAGCACTTCTACTTACATTAATTTATATAATACCTAAAATTAGTAGTTATTTTTAGAAAAATTATGTGAAGCATACCTCAGAAATGATCATTGTAGTCATCTCTAGGAAGACTAGATAAGAGTAAAAACTTTCTTTTCATTTTACACCCGTAAGCACTGTTCTAGTTTTCTGTTTTGTTTTGTTAATAATATATATTATTTTTATAATGGAAGAACTAATTTCAAATAAAAATCGTGATGAGATGGTTAGGGAAATCATTCATTCATTTATCTATGCATTCAACGGTCAATGACTGAATACTACATCACCAAGCACTGTACTGGTCAAAGGGAGACAAAGATGAGTAAGACTCTGCCCCAAGCCAGTGGGAGAGACAGAAAACCACCCCACCCAGTGTGATAATTTCAAGGACAGATGATTGAATGGGGCATATCATAGCCAGCCTTCTGATGATCCCTGTCTTCTCGTATTCACACCCTTGTGTAGTGTCCTTTCACACTGTATAAGGATACAAGGATTAGTCTGTGTGAAGGGATGGGAGATGTGATGAAGATCAAGTGGGCAAGAACCTCAGCTCCGTGTTCTAGAGTCCCTGTGGCCAGAGGGGACTCATTGAAGAATTTTAAACAAAAGGGTTTCAAGTTTAGGTTAAAAAGGTTCCTCTAGCCACAATATGGCCAAACCACTGAATGGAGCAGATTAGACTGGGGGGTTCAATTAGAAGCCAGCAATCCACAAAACTGGCAGAAACAATCATTATCCCTCCTCTATAGATAAGCCACGGGATACTCAGAGGGTATAAGTGACTGGCCTAAAAGTTCAAGACAACGTGGATTGGAGGTGAAAAACCAGTGGCATAAGCTGAAAAGCACTCTTCCTCTACCTCCAGCCTTCTTCTCTGCAGGCAGCTGGCTGGGGCCAGCAGGCTAGCTGGACCAGTTAGCGGCTCAGAGTTCCTAGAGCCCCATTAGGAGAGAAAGCGTGTTCATCAACAGGGTTGGCAACTCCAGGGCTGGGCTTAAAAGACACTGAATGTTACAATTAGAGGGACTCTTACAGAAAACTTACTCTATCCTCTAGCTTTAAAGATGTATAAACTGAGGCACAGAGAGGTCTTACGCTATCACCTCAAAGAAGGAGAGACGGTACTCCAACCCAGAGACGGTACTCCAACCCAAGACTTTTATTCCTCCCACCCACCACACTCATTCTTTCCAAAAACAATAAAGTATATGACCATTATTATTATTATAAAGTGAATATATGTTCAATATCGATACTTTAAGAAAAACTAAGACACAAAAGGAAAATATCTATAAGTCCAACATTTGAAGACCAACTCCTACCATTTCCCTGTGCTTCTGCTATTCTTTTTTCTCCTATGCATATTTTTTCTTGACTCATATTTTATTATTTTTATTATTATTTATTGTACTTGTTATTTTTATAATTATTTATTGTATTTATTATTATAACTCTTTGAGCTATAATACCACAAACATTTTCAATTTATTTAATCATTTGTTTCTTTGTGGGGATATATAGTGCTGTTTTTCACTACATAAATTACACTCTATTCATAAAGCTTTTATAGTATTTCCTTGGAATAAAAACCAGTTGTTGAGTTGGCTCCAACTCATGGCAACCCCCCATGTGCTCCATAGGGTTTTCAATGGCTGATTTCTTTCCAGAAGTAGATAGCCACACCTTTCTTCCAAGGCACATCTGGGTGAATTCAAACTTCCAACCTTCTGGTTAGCAGCCAAGTGTGTTAACCTTTGCACTACCCAGGGACTCCTAGCTTGGAATGGAGTCCTAGAAATAAAATGCTTAGGCCAAAGTGTATTAAACATTGCAATATTATTTTCTAAGAGTGTTGCTCCAATGCGCGTGCCAGGCGACAATGCTGAGCACACCTCTGTCTCCTTTTAAAGGAAAAGCAAACCTGACCACTGCTGTCCCCCTCACCCTCACCCTCACTCTCATTAAAGCCAGGCTTGTGAGCTCCCTATGCCTCAGCATGGAGCTTTGCTCCTTCTTGCCTGGGCAGGATTAAGAGCCAAATCTGTCATGCCCCTGCCTGTTTCCCGCCTTCCACCTTTTCTCTCACCTGTGATGACTGTTCTGTGCTCTGGCTTTCAGCTCAGGCCCAGCCCTACCTCTGGGCTGTGAAAACCTTCCTCCATCTATGGAATGTCAGCCCACAGCCTATAACTTCTCCAGTGGACAGAGGGGCTGCTCTTGCCACCCAGGGGGGAGGAGGGAAAAAGACTAATCAGCAGGTGGGGACTGAAGCCAGGGCATTGGGGCCACATCCCTCACTGTGCACACAAGGTGTGGCTGCTGCTTACCTTAGGGACAAGCTCCAAACCCTTCTTTGATCTTGGCTGGAATGAGCTGTAGATATTTCGGCTAAGCCCCTTCTGTGGGCCTTTGAGACCAGACTTATTGACTCTCCTTGTTTCACTATCCCTTGGAATCCCTAACCTGGCCACCCAGGGCCAGGCTTATCTTCTGACATAGCCTGAGGAGTAATATGGTTTCCCTTTGGCCTCCTCTGACTGTGTAGAAGGAACTCTGGTAGCATAGTGCCTAAGGTATCTGACTGCTAACCAGAAGGCTGGCGGTTCAAACCCACCAGCCACTCCTCAGAAGGAAGGTTGGGCAATCTACTTCCGTAGTGATACTGCCTTGGAAACCCAAGGAGGGGTCGCTATGGATTGGGTCCGACTCGACGGCACATAACAACAACAACTATGTAGAAGTGATGGTGAGGAATCATGTAAGGAATGCCTTGCATTGTGTATCCCAAAAAGACATGTTGAAATCTTAACCCCCAGTACCTGTAAATGTGACCTTATTTAGAAATAGGGTCTTTGCAAATATAATCAAGTTAAGATTCTGTCATACTGGAGTAGATTGGGTCCTAATCTAATGACAGTTGTCCTTATAAGAAATAGGAAATTTGGACAAAGACATTGAGGGAATATGGCCATTGAAGATGGAGGCAGAGATGAAAGTTATGCTGCCACAAGCCAAGGAACAAGGATGGCTGGCAACCACCAGACACTGGAAGAGGCAAGGATGGATCCTTCCCTAGACTTTAGAGGGACCATGGCCCCAAGGACACCTTTATTTCAGACTTCTAGCTCCATAACTAAGACCAAGAGGCACACTGAGAGACAGCCTTCCCCTAGAGCCGCCACTCTGATTTCAGACTCCCAGCCTCCAAAATTGTGAGAGCGTAAATTTCTGTTTGTTAAAGCCATCCATCCGTGGCTATGTCTGTAATGGCAGCACTAGTTAACTGACACACAGACCAAAAACAACATCGTGATAAATGGAGAAAATACTGACCTCGTCAAGGATTGCATTTTACTTGGATTCACAATCAATGCCCATGGAAAGAACAGACAAGAAATCAAAAGACCTTATGGTGTTGGGTTAATATACTGCACAAGATCTCTTTAAACAGTTCAAAAGAAAAGAAAATGTGAGGACTAAGGTGCGCATGACCCAACGCATGGTATTTTCAATGGCCTCGTAGACATGCGAAAGCTAGACAATGAATAAGGAAGACTGAAGGAGACTTCCTGCATTTCAGCCATGGTGCTGGTGAAGAGGATTGAATATGCTATGGACTGTTCGAAGAATAAAGGAGCTCTGGTGGTGTAGTGCCTAAGGCATCTGACTGCTAACCAAAAGGCTGTTGGTTCAAACCCACCAGCCACTCCTCAGAAGGAAGGTTAGGCAATCTACTTCTCCAAAGATTTACTGCCTCAGAAACCCAATGGGGGTCGCTATGAGTCAGAATCAACTTGATGGCAGTGGGTGAGCTCCATAACTATAAAAGAATAAATTTCTGTTGTTTTAAGCCACCCAACTTGGGACATTTTGTGACAGCAGCCCTAGAAAACTAATACATCCACAAAGTCCCATCTGAGAGGTTTATCTTCATGTTAGCTCCACTTCTCCACAGGCTCCCTACCACGGCCCAGCTATTCCAACTACCAGCAGTGCTGACCAAAACCCCTTGCCTGCTTCACACTCTCCCTCACCTCACAAGCTGCAGTAAACAACAGAGGTTCCCCACAGGTTGTCTCTCTGAGGTGCAGCTGCCTCCACATACCATGAGGAACCAGGCCTATCACAATTGCCATGTGCAGCAGGTATGGAATTGGGCACTGGCTGGTTATACCCAGTCTGACCCTTGATCCAGGCAACAGTTGATTCAGCCTTCTACCACTCCTGCTTTCAGTTTTGAGCAAACAACACACCTGCCTTCCTATACAAATCACACACACAACATTATGTGTGGAACGTAAAAGTGGCTTGAGATTCAGTGCTGATGCATCTGGCTGGCAGGGGAGGTGGCAGAAAGGAGAGCCTCTTCCTCCCTCATTACTCCTGTCAAGCTGTAAACTCAGGTTCCCATTTTATATCCCCAGATGTATCTACCTGTGTGCTCTCATTAGCATAATGCTTAGTGTTAACATCAATGGTAACATTAAAAAGAATTCAAAAATATCAACTGTCTTCCTCTTGCTGTCTTCTGCTCTTTTTTTCCTTTTCTACCTTCATCCTGTGTGTCCCATTTTCATCTGGACTTTTGCTCACTGTGGGAAGGGCCACGTGGGCAATGGGAAGGACTGACTGACAGAACACAGGGTTCCAGTCTGGGCACTAGCTCTGGGCAAGTTCATCTTTCTGATCCTCAGTTTCTTCAGCTGCAATACAGGACTGATAACACCCATTGTGGAGGCAGCATGGTGGATGGGAAAAGGCTGGCTTTGCTACTCACCAGCTCAGCCACTCTGAGCAAGTTACTTAACCTCTCTGAGCTTTGTTTTTCCCCTGAGTGAAAGAGGGTAAGTGGTAAAACAGACCCTGCAGGATTGTGCGGGAATGAACCCAGATCATGTCCATGACCTGCACACAGTAAATGCTTAAGTAGTCTAGACTTACCTCCCCCTCACAGGGTCACTGAGCAGAAAGGAGATGACCTGGAAGTGTGCTGTAAACTTCAGAGCCCACATGTTATTTGAATAACTTATATTTAAACACTGTAAGACTCATAATATTAATAACATTAACATATAACATATTTTTATGTATTATAATATTAATAATATAATATTAACTCATAATAATTAATAAGTTGTATTAATGTAGATGGGAGCTCTGGTGGCATAGTGCCTAAGGCACTTGACTGCTAACCAGAAGGCTGGTTGTTCAAACCCACCAGCCACTCCTGGGAAGGAAGGTTGGGCAATCTACTTCTGTAGTGATACTGCCTCGGAAACCCAAGGAGGGGTCGCTATGAGTCGGGTTCGACTGGAAGGCAGTGAGTTTGGTTTGGTGTTATTAATGTAGATATCCATTTCGGTATGCCCCCTCCCCACTACACTGCACTAACCAAAATTGGTTCTCCTTCTTGCTGCCACGGCCCCGGTTTTCTATCTAAAGCTTATCTGTGCCTCCACGCCAACTTCCAGCCGCCTTGTACCCCACACTCCCCATTGCATTGCTGCTCCTCCCAGCCGACCCCACACTGCCCAATCCTACCATCCAGGACTGGGGAGTCCGAAGGGGGCACACCGGTTCCAAGCGCGTCTAACACCCTCTAGTGAGGCTGAAACTCTGGCCCCAGTGCCCACTCACCCTCTTGACGAGGAAGCCCTCTTTGAGCACGCCGCCCTCGCCGTCCTCCATGCCGCCGCTGACGGAGCAGCTGCGGCCCTGCTGTCCGTCCCCAGGTGCGCCGTCCGCGCGCCTCCCGCCTCCGCGCGCTCGCCCGCGCCCGCGCCCGCGCTCCAGCCGCTGAGCCGAGGAAGCCGCTCAGACCTGGCGGGGCGACACCTCCCTGGCCTGTGTCCAGGGCCCGCGGCCGCAGGGCCTCCCGGGCAGGAAGTTAGACCAGGCCGGGATTTCGTGACGTGATTCTTCCCCCGAAGGTGCCCGGAGGCCCGTGCTTGGCCCTTCAAGTCCGGCTTTGGTGTGGCCTCTTTAGGAGCCTTCCTCATCCGGCTCTTTCCTCCTGGGCTGGGTGCTCCAGCCTGACGCCCCATGCAGGTGTCCCCACTGCATCCTGTACCCCTTACCACGCGGTCTCTTTGCCCATCTGCTCTCCTCCTCCATTCCCTACCTTCAGAACTTTAATGGCCACTGCCAGGTGTTGGACTGGGGCCTGGGAGGCCTTGACTAATACTTAGGGAATTCAACTGAGCTTAAAGGCTTTCAAGGACTTGGAGTGATTCCCAGGTCAATAGGTATGGGGGTAGGAGAGTGGATGGGGTGGAACCAGGCTGGGAACGTTATTCGGGGCTCTGGTGGGAGCAAAGTTCCTATTAGCACAAAGGTCACTGGCAATTAGCAGGGGCCCTCCTCTGCTCCCAAAATACAAACCACCCACCTACCCACCATTATTAGGGGCAAAATGTAAGTGTGTGTCAAGAAATTCAGAATCTAGATTAATAATACTTGCATGCAATATTTTTAAAAATCAATATCATCAATGCAAATAAAAACATCTATGATGAATAAAGGAGCTCTGGTAGCATAGTCCCTAAGGCACTTGACTGCTAACCAGAAGGCTGGCGGTTCAAATCCACCAGCCACTCCTCAGAAGGCAAATTGGGCAATCTACTTCGGTAGTGATACTGCCTGGGAACCCAAGGAGGGGTCAGGTCCAACTTGACGGCACATAACAACAGCAACAACAACATGATGAATAAAATATCCAAGTTTAAAATAAAGTCAGCATCAGCAACAATGTCCTGTTTGGCCTCGTGGAGCCTGAGACAAAAGGAAAAATCAGTGAATCAGTGATGCAGATCCTGCCCAGTATGTCAAGGGACCTGTTGGGACTCTCCAGCAGGAAGGGGAAAGGCCTCCAGATGCCTGACGTGAAGAGAAGGCCTAGATGGAAGAAGATGCCGCAGGCTGAGGAGGCCAGTTGTGCCTTGCAGAACCAGCCTATAGTTGATTCCCCAACCAAGCCAGTGCCCCCTGGCCGGGACTCTCACCACACTGCTGCCCTGCCCAGGAAATTTCATTGGCACTGGAGCTCTGTGCTGCCAGGGTAATGCCCACCTCAGCTTCTGCACCTACTGGGTTTCTACCCTGTTTGGGACATTCAATACTGCCTGTAATGGGTGCTGTTGTTATTAGGTGCCATCGAATCAGTTCTGACTCTGTGTACAGCAGAATGAAACAATGCCCGTCCTGCACCATCCTCACAACCGATGCCATGTTTGAGCCCATTGTTGCAGTCACCGTGTCAATCCATCCCATTGTGGGTCTTCTTCATTCTCACTTACCCTCTACTTTACCAAGCATCGTGTCCTCAGGGAGTGGTTGCTCCCAATAACATGTCCAAACTATGTGAGATGAAGTCTCATCAAATTGCTTCTAAGGAGCATTCTGGCTGAACTTCTTCCAAGACAGATTTGTTCATTCTTCTGGAAGTCTATGATATATTCAATATTGTTTGCCAATACCCTGGTTCAGAGGCATCAATTCTTCTTCATTCTCCCTTATTCATTGCCCAGTTTTCGTCTGCATATGAGGCGATTGACAATACCATAGTTGGATCAGGCACACCTTAGTCCTCAAAGTGGCATCTTTGCTTTTGAATACTTTAAAGAGGTCTTTAGCAGCAGATTTGCCCAGTTCAATATGTTGTCTGATTCGTGCCTTCTGCTTCCATGGGCGTTGTTGATGGGTTGTAGATTGTAGCTGACGCACAGCAACCCCTGAGATGACTTTACTACCAGCTTTTCTAACTGAGGAAACTGACATTTGGGACAGTTAAATAACTTGCCTAAGGTCACACAACTAATAAGTAATGAAGCCCAGAATTTAAATCCAGGGCAGTGAGAGTGCAATTGCTTCTCGGTCCATAAGCTGGGAAGAGCAAAAAGGAATTGTCCCAACTCTGAACCCTTGCTGAGCTCAAACCCAGGACACAAAAAGTTGGACTGCGAAACTTCTTCTCCTCTTTGGCTCTAATTATGGCCTGTTCACCTCCTTCTTCTCCTTTGTCCTCTCAGATGCCAGAACAGGCAGTTGGCACCAAGGCTCTTTCGGCCCTACCCAGACACAACCGTCCAAGGCCGATAGGAGGTGATATTTTCTTTGACAAGAGAGGTTCTTGAGTGAGTTCATAAAACTGAGGAAGGGAGAAAGACTGGTGCTCTCTCCTGCTAGTGCCCCTACCAGGAGGGAGTTAAGGCCTCTGCATACCGAGAATCTACCTCCCATCCTAGGGAATCCCCTGGTCCAGGCTGCCTCTACCCCCAGTCTGACTCACTGGACCTGGGACATGAATCACACTACCTTCTCCCCATGCTGTGGTTGCTGGGCCACCAGCCTACCGAAGAACCACAATGACATAAGCCCGACTCAACCACCGGGAGGAGGATGGAGACAAAAGGAAGCAGACAGCAGTGAACAGCTGAGACTGGGGGAAGGGAGTTAGTTAGGGAAGGAAGCCCTGGAAACACGAATTGTCTTGCTCTTCCACTCAGAAACTTCTCCTCTTCCTCTCATTCCCCTCCCTTTTGTGTCATGAAGGGCCAGATGTGGGTGTATGAGCTATGGAAAGCTGTAATATCAGTGTTTGAGTATCAGTGATTAGTAGCCTAATGTGAAATTCCACCATGAGAGAGTCATTCCTTTAGCTTCACATAAGAATTCCCAGGTTAAGATACATACAGGGAAAAAGGATAAATCATGAAGCCTTATTCACTACAAATACCTTGACTCAATGAAATTACCAGAATCAGAATCTAATCCCTAAAGATTATCCAATCCAGATACTTCCTTTTACAAAAAAAGGACCCCTAAGGCCCAGAGAAATAAAAGGACTTGTCCAAGGTCCCACAGCCCATTAGCAGCAAAGCCAGGACCAGAA